TATACTTTAAAAATCTTTTTTGTACACATACACATAAATAGATAGCTGTGTGTGTGTATATGTGTTAAACTGTTTGTACTGACAGTACACAAGGTATTGTTTTTTCTGTAATTTAGATTTCACATTCAACAATATATCAGAAATATCCTTCCATGTCAATACATGTAGATGTAATACATTTCTAAAAACTGAAGTCACATCCTCCGATCAAAAACCTCCAATGGCTTTGCAAACCACTTGGAAAAAAATCTCAAATCTTATCATGGCCTATAAGGCTCTATATGGCCTAGCTCCTGGCTCTCTCTCCAACACTGAGGACCACACTCCCTCCCTCATTCAACTCTTCTTGTTCTTATTGAAGGACACCAAGCAGCTCCAGGTTCAGGACATTTTCACTTGCTGTCCCCTGAGCCTGGAGCACTTGTCCCCTATAACCTACATCCTCACTTCCACAGAGAAGAGTTCTAATCACTCTATATTCTCTTACTATGCTTCATTTATCTTCATTGCATTCGTCACCACCTGATGTATTACACAATTATTTTTTACTATGTCTCTCTCCATTATAATGTAAGTTCTATGACAGCAAGGGTTTTTTTAAAAATACTCTTTGTAACTCTAGTGCCCAGAATAGTGCCTGGCTTAAAGTAGGCATTCAAGAAATATGTTGAATGAATTTATTGAATGAATGATATTTAAGACTGATTCTTACATATTAAGAGAAAAAGGAGATGCAGAACAATATGTATAGTATGATTTAATTATCTACATACCCATTGAAGAATAAAGGCAAAAAAGGTACAAATCAAAATGTTAGTAGTGTTTAAGTTGTCAGTGGTTTATAGGCACTTTTAATAGTTGATTTTCTACTTGGTAAAGTTTCTGCAATAGACAAGCATTATTTTTATACTAAGAAAAAAAGTGTGTGCTTTTCTTAAGCAATAAATAACAACCTACCAGTCCATTTAAGTTCTTTATGTTGTTTCTTCCTAAAGACAATATCCTCAAGTTTTCTGTAGTGGAAAGAAAACATTTTTTTTGTTTATGAGAATCATATTACAAAATCGTTATAAATCTAGAAGCTTTAATAAATTTTCTGTAATATCCTGATTTAATGAGTAAGAAAAGCTATGTTAATAAAAATGGGTAATCAAGTAGGAAATAACATTGACCTATCATCTAAGGTAAATACTATAATTTCATATCATGCCAATATTAAGTTAAAAATGGTTAGCTATTTGGAAGTCATGGTCTTAAATTGCTGGCTAGTAAAAATATTACAGGGATAAAATAAGACTAAAGAAAACTTTAAGTTTGGGAGCATACATATTTCAAATCTCTTATGAGAACTCAGACTGGAAAATAGAAATAGATGTTTATGTATAGTTCACCTTACTCCACAAGGGATCAGAAGTGAAATAA